ATAGAATTCAAATAAATAAATTTTCATTGGGTTTGATCAGGTGGTTGTGGAGATATTTTCGCTCAAACTTTTAAAAATCAGCGCAGCTTCTATTTTTGATAGGCAGGTTGATTTTTCTATAACTTTGAGTGGAGATATCTCCGTAACCACCTGACCAAGTCCGATGAAATCTTTTTTATTTGAATTCTGTGGATTCATAGAATTCAAATAAAAAAAATTCCATAGAATTTGGTCAGGTGGTTGTGGAGATATCTTCGCTTAAACATTTAAAATAAATTGGCGCAGCTTCTATTTGTTTGATTTTTCTCTAACTTTGAATCTCCATAATCACCTGACCAAGTTCGGTGAGGTCATTTGTGTAAAGTATAGAGCAGTGTAATATGAAAATTTTTATTTTTTTTCTTAACATGTGATTACGGTTTCTGACCTACTAAATTCAAAGTTTGAATGAACATTTCTCAATGACCATTTTTTTATTTTTAAAAAGATCAATATTTAGACGAATAAGGTTAAAATCAAGAATGCAGTTAAGGGTTTTTTTATAGTATTAAAATGGATAAATAAAAAGAAAAATTTCTGAATTAAGTGTAAAAATATATATATATGCGTTCTTGCATATTGCATACATTAATTATACGGTTGTACAAGACGGCCGAAGTAAGTAAAAAAAAATTACTATATTTGAATTTATTAAGACCAGCCAAATCTAGTAAAATGGTCAATTCGGCCGATGACCACGTCATTTTATTCATTAAATCATTATGAATTGTGTTATATTAGTGACTACAAATATATATATAAACAGTTGCTTTCAACCTTCGTGATTCTATTGTAAAGAAATTTTATTATCTACAAATTAAAATATTTTTTAAAAACCAAAGCAAAAAAAAAAAAAAACCTTAAATAAGCAAAAATGTCGACTTCAAACGAAGCTACCAATGTTGGCATTGTCAGTAGAACTGAAACCTGCACCTGCTGCGGAAAGCTTAAGCCTATTGCTGAATTCACAAGAATGAGTGGAAGTAGAATAGCAGTCAATACCTCATGTAATACCTGTTCTGATCAAGATAAGAGATATCGAGCAAATAAAAAAGCTAAATCAATTAGTGATAAAAGTACTCAACCACTTATCTTAAATGATGATATTCAACTATCACCCTTAGACGAAAATAT